AGGTAGGAGGGAGGCGAAAAGGGGCCCGTGGGGCGCCCTTTATAAGCTTTCTTCACGATTCACGTCCTCTATAACCTTGGTTACAGAAGGCGATGAATCGGTCATCAGCACTTCGAAGCAGTTGCTGGACTTGAAGCTCGTCTAAGCTATTTTTGCCTTTTCAGAGGCTGCTGAAACTGCGGCTTCAGCGCGTCTGACAGCTGATTTTGCTCGTACAACTGCAGCAAATTCCCGTTGACTCGCCTGCCTGATTGTCTCGAGGTTCTCTTTGGATGCTGGTCCAGACTTTGTAGGACGAGCTAGACAGTCACAACTGTCCAATTGGTGGGGGCCCCCACAGTTGCGACACTTTGTATGTGCCTTACACTCTGCGGAGGAGTGCATCGTTGACATGCAGTTCCAGCAAGCTGGGGCACGTGAGCAGCCTCGAGTGCCGTGGAATTGCAGGCATTGTTTGCACTGGCTTATTGCCTGTTTAGGCTGGTGACGAACTGCAATTCCAGAGTCGTCAAAAAGTCGGAAGCCCGGCCGAGGGGCAGACGCTCTCTCGAAGTGAGCTATCCAAGTTTGGTAAGGAGCTCCTACTCGCCCCTTTCCGAGTGGATAGACACGTACCGGAACCGCCTTGGTGGTTCGAGTTATTTCTTCTGCCACCATCTCCTCAGTGACTGTGACCTTGCCCAAAAGTGTGTATAGGGCCACTGGAACCGTTGCAATTCGAAGGGCAGCCAGATCCGAGGCTGTCTCCAACTTAGCCTCAACCTTACTGAATGATTCTGCAGCGTTTAAGAGGAGCTGGCGTGCTTCTTCATTTTTGGCTTTCATAGCGAAGCCGGTGGGAACACAATACACATGTTCAATATTGGAGGATGGAACCTCCACCAATTTAGTCACGGCATCTCTCACGCCAGCTGGCGAAAGAGCGCGCCATGCATGCTCCTCTCCGAGGCGAAGAAACAGACGAACATCTTTTGGCTTTGCAGTCACAGGTCTAGCTTGTTTCTTGACCTGTACTGCTGGGTTTGGGGCGACTCGAACAGTCTTTGCTGGAGCGATTGACATTTGGGGAGAGCCCCGGGCAACTGTTGCCCAGGTCGATTTGGCCTGGGTGACTTGGCGTTGTAGCTCCTGACTGTTCATCGGAGTTCTTTCTTTGGCCTTGGTTATAGGACAACTCATATTTTCCTGGCAGCTTGGGCGCTGTGGAAGGATTGGGGGGGCCGCACTGGGTCCCGACTTCATGAATTGAGCTATGGCTGCTCGAAGATATATTTTCATCGAGTCGATGAACGGATTGCTCGACTCTTCTGAGTATAGGGAGACCTCGGTCTCGACAGCATTGATTGCAGCAGTGCAGATCATTATATTTTTTGCTGCTTGAGCTGCCCTGCGCTCTTCAGCTTCAATCATGGCTTGTAGTTCCGGGGGGCAGCCATTGATTTTTTGTTTCCTGCTTTTGCTGCAGGAAGGTTGTTGTTTTTCAGTCGCCATTGATGAGGGTTTGCTGGCAATCTGAGCAGGTGTGGCTTGATTAGCCTTATTCACCTCTGAAATTGCTGCCTTCTTGACAGCAGGAGCAGCAATCTTCTTTTATGTTGAAATGACGGAGGTCACAGGGACCACATCATCATTTTTCTGAGCGACATTCCATCTGGATTTGTCAAGACCCTTGATTATGTATTGGTCAATGACCATATCGCCCATTTCCACATCTGGGTTTGTTGAGTCTGAGTCTTCCTGGAAGACTCTCAATCTTTCGGTCATCTCTGACTCCATCTTGTCTTGATCTATCGTATCGATCAATAGATTTCTTTCATCTAGGCGGTGTTGCAACCTGATTTTAATTTTCGCCATGGCTTTGTGCTGGCGCACAGGGCGAGTGATTTTCGTAGGACCCGTCACCATTTCGGAGACTCAGGGTCTTGCAACTATGATAATGATGAAATTAGCTTGTGAAACTATGAATTGAAGGGTTGAGGGGATGGGTAGGTGAATTTTTCATCTACTTCCAAAAAATTGCTTGCTTAATGGCATATTTTTTGTTTTTATTTATTTTGTCCTAAGCTAAAGCTATGTTTTCCACATTGGTTCAAAGACAGGCGGAGCCGGCAGGGTTCACTGTAATCTTTCCTACAGCCTAAGTCGTTCCAACCTCGTGAATTGCTACCAAAAGAGCAGCTGATTAAACAGAAATGAAAAAACCAGAAGATTCCTCCATATTGGACCTAGTCAATGTGCTCCTCACACATTCCCTCGTCTGTCACACCTTCCAAATGACAAATTTACTTAATCTCTGCTGAGAGCAGTAGATGAGTTAGCAGGCACCTTTGATCCAGCCGGTATCCTGCTAATTGTTAGTAGATGCCCCAGAAGGGGACATCTTCGAGGTTGCTGTGTCCTCAAACTTCTTCTTCAGGTCCCAGCACTCCGAAACCTGTTGCCTCGGCCATTGCGACATCCTTCGCTGCGGCAACGATGGCCTCTTCAGCCTTTTTGGCTGCAGCCCTAGCTCGAGCCGCCTCCGCGAACTTCCCTTGCTCGAGGTGGCGTATCCATGCGAGCTGCTCTTTTGTCACCGGCCCAGAATTTCTGGGTCTGACTTTGCAGTCCCGAGAATCCGATTGGTGGGGTCCCCCACAGTTGCGACACTTAGTGAGGGCCTTGCACTCGGCTTCCGAGTGCATGTTGGAGCCGCAGTTCCAGCAGGCTGGAGCGCGGGAGCAACCACGAGTGGCGTGGAAGCCTAAACAGCGTTTACACTGTTCAATTTGGCGACGAGGCTTGTGAATGGTTGCCATACCAGATTCGTCGAAGATGCGAAAGCCCGCACGAGGGGCGTTGTCCCGCGTGAAAATGGCATGCCAGTTCTGATACAGTGCTCCAGGTCGACATGTCCCATGAGGTCGGACCTAGATTGGTATCGCGTCGGTCGTACCGAGAATCTTGGCAGAGACCCAGCTTGCATCGACCGCCCTGGTGCCGCACACCGTAACTATCCTTACAGGTACGTTCGGTATCTGTAAGGCGACAAGATCCGAAGATGCCTCGAGTTTGACATTATGACTCGCCAGCTTCGAAGAGCCATGTAAAGTCTCTTGTCGTGTTTTTTCGTTCTTTGCTAGCATAGCAAAGCCCGTTCTCACTCGGTGGAGTGAGGTTATTTCTTGGTTAAAGTAGCCAAATGTATACTCCAACTTAGTTCTCACGCTGCTTGTGGACAATTTTCGCCACGGGTGGTCCTTTTCAAGGCGAAGGAACAGTCGCTTATCGACTTTCGCCTTGGGGATTTCTTTTTGTTGGGCTTTGGCCGCAGGTCGCGGCATAGCCTTCACAGTTGGGACTGCTTTTTTTTGCAGTCCGTTTCTGGCCACCGTAGCCCAGGTGCTTTTGACGGGCAGAGCTGGGACGGTAGGTATTGTTTGTCTCCTGGCGTCGGGAGCCCTTGGGAGAGGGTTCGTCGAGCGAGGAGGGAGGACGGGTGGCGTAGTGGCCGGGCCCGTGGCCATGTATTGCGCAATGGCGGCGCGTTGGTAGACTCTCATGGAGTCTACGAATTGTCTATTTGACCCGTTGGTCAAAGGGAGAAGGGTGGCTTCGACGCCAGAGATGGCGGCGGAACAGAGGGCCAGATTTGCCGCTGTTTCGGCGGCGCGTCGTTGTTCAGCTTCGACTATTGGTCGTAGCTCGAGGGGACACTCTGCTTTCGTGGCAGCTTTAAGCTGCGACGTTGATGTTGATGCTGCTATGGGTGCAGCATTTTCCGACGGTTTTGAGGTGGTCGGAGGAGGTTTGGACGATTCTTCAATCCTGTGGGGGACGGAGGGTCGCTGAGAGATTTCCTCAACAATTTCGACTGACCCGATCATGTCAGTATCGGGTTCAGCAACGGCGGGGAGGGCTTTTTCCTTCCCTTTGATGGAGACCTTGCTCATCTCCGCGCATTTCGGAGACTGGGCAAGGCCAGGTAATTGCTCGAGAGCCCTCGGGTGGACTCTCGTGTTGTCCAACTTGGCGTTGGGACGCTTTTTTCGAACAGGTGGCATGGTGAAAATGCCAGTGACTCGATCACAATTTTTTTGATAGAATGCGACGAGCGCGTGAGGGAGGGAGACGGGAAAAAGGTGAAGATTCGAAAATTTGTAAATTCGAATTTCAAAAAATTGGCATATTTTATTTATTTATTTAGATTTTAGTTCACGTAGGCCTGATTCACAAGGCTGGATTCTCAACAGCCCTAGTATTAGGGTCTCGATTGTCATGTACAAATAGAGTGAAGCGCGCACTAGATATAGATTGTGTCACGTTTGGTTAATTAAACCTAACCTTGATCCACCAGACTCTTCATCACGTTAACATTGCACCTCGCTCCCCCCATAACAGAAACCAAATTCGGTTAAACCCTCCCAAAACTAGCTGTCTCATGTTTATTGGTTTTCAAAGGTTTCCTGCAGGAAATGCGTTTACACTATTTTTACAGTGTGAATTCCGTCCTATCCTTGTCCACACCGTCTCATCTTTTCGTCCAATGCTATTTCTACTTCTTCTACAAGCTGGAATTGATAAAACCAGCCTATTGTCATGATCCATTTTGTAATTCTTTCCATATCATCTGAGCATTTCATCATTGCCGTAAAAGACCTATCTTTTGTCTTTCGGAGCACCTCTCCTCTTCCCATTTCCCTCTGAGGTCATGCCAAGACTATCTGTTTGACAGTTTGAGACGGATGTCCACACTGGTATTTTGGATTAATCACTCCGGGGACTTTCCTCCGATACAGATAAGAATTGAGACCAATGTGCTCACTTCTTATCCGAACTGAAATACTGCTTTGGGCCCTGCTAAGGTTTCGGTAATAAAACTCTTTCATAAAGTTACTAGAATCACCTTTCTTTATTTACGATAAATTACTAAAATTACTTAACTATTTAAAGAGAACTGTATTTAATTACATATTATACAATTAATCAGCTCATTTCACCCATAAGCTAATTTGTCAGCTCTACCCCAGCGCTTCACCTAGGCACTGCACCTCGTATATTTTGACGAATGGCCCTTTATTTTCGTTGGTAGTTTTATTTTCTGGCTTAATAGAATCAGGATCTAAATCATCCGTCACGTGATTTTTGGCCTCCCTATGACTGGCTAATTTGTGACACCTAATGATGTCATCCACATTGCTTTGTAAACGCTCCTTAGTAGTACGATAAATTCGAGGTATGCGCACTTCTTCGTATTTCTTTCCTGTAGTTATCATCTCTGCAATACCTCTTGCGACCAGCCAGATAACTGGCATCCCATGTCCTTCAAACCCTGCCTCAATGAAGCAGCCTTCGCGATCAGGAATAGGTCCTACGCTCGGGAGGCTATCAGAGTTATATCCCATGATTCCAGACCAGATACTATCGACTTTCGCACTACTATTCTCCCATCCTATAAAATGTTTTTGCATGTAATTGTCAAAATAATTTCGTGCAGGTTCAATGAGAGAGTCGTCATCGGTGCGATTGTGCCAGGTGGAAAGATCGTGAAAAAAGTCACTGCGTGCACCACCAACGATTAGAGAATTATCATTGCGCGGTATTAAGTAGTCGCCTGAACCATTAGGAAGCCAGAGACCATATGTTTTGGTGAGAGGTAAGCGAGGAGCATCGGCTGGATAAACTATTCGACAGCAAATTCCTTTGGATGGTACGATCTTAGATGCATACTCCGGTAATAGACCAGCTGTGTATCCGTTGGTGGCAAAAATAATTTTCGAAGTTATGATTTCACCACGAGGGGTGCTTATTATCCATTTCTTTGGCTCTGTAGTAGATTTAACAATTTTGGTAGCAGGTGTTTGCGTTTGAAGGTTAAGGCCAGATTCGACGGCACGCTGAAGTAAACCCATCATAAGTTTGTAAGGCCAGAGATGAGCAGCCGTGAACTCGAAGCAGCCGACACATCCTTTTACTCCCGATACCTGCTCTAATGATCAGTTCAGCGTATACGTTCGACTTCCTCCCATCTTGTCAACTGGAAGTTACTTACCTGCTCTGCTCGGTCCTCATCCGTCCATTCGAGGTCGTTTAAAGTTGTTCTGGCTATACCAGCTTCTTTTAGTCGTATGTAGGCCTCTTTAGCGGCCGCTGCTTCTTCTCGATTCACGTACACACTAAATGATTTAGTGATGGTAAAATCACAGTCAATTTGCTCCTGTTCTACCAGCGTTGCCAGAGCCTGTACATGATCAAACTCGAAGTCAGCTACTTCAACTGCGGCATCTACTCCAAACTTCTCAATATAATTGGGCAGTCGACCATAGACTGATGGACGTAAATGGCCACCTGCAACGAGATTAGTGGCTAAAGTAGTAGATCGAGTCATTAAAAGTCCCTTGGGTACTAACCATTTCTCGCCGTAGCACCTGAACAGGCCTGTCGCGCCTCAAGTAGGACTATTGATAAGTCATCAGACTTCTTTCGCAGTTTTCTGTCGCAAAGAATGTGATAGGCAGTAGAAATTCCGGCATACCCACCACCGACGATGAGAACGTCGCATGATTTAGGAAGTTCACTGGTAGAGCGATGGGTATCAAGGGCATGAGGTTCAGTCCGCCAGAAGGGAGTTGTTGATTCTTTGCTCGGGAAAGTTCCCGCTGATGGGATGCAGCAGTCGCCAGTCACACTCATTGCGGATCAACGAGTTGAATCGGATGTATTGATTTTCCTTGAATAATTTTTCAATTTGGGACAAGATAGTGCAATAGACTGATATTCCAGGAGTCATAGCTCGGTACGAGTGTGGTTATTAGTAGTTGTGTGTAATTACATGCTCGTCGATGATGGCAACAACTGATAAGTATGCTACGCGCACCTGTACGGCTAGGGCTCACTATGATCCATGCCCATTCTTCAATAGCCGACGGGAGCACCCATCTGTCCAACTGTTTCGGAGATTGAGGGGCGGGAAAGGTAGACCCACAGCTTCCGAAGTACGTACCCGCGACCCTGCAGGGATATTTGGACTTGGCCCCAAATCTCGGGACACTTATACAGATCTGATTTGAAGTTTGCAAGTCGCATTAGTTGATAACGTCATTATTTTTGTTCAATTAAATCCATGGGCTATATGGTAGTCAAAAATACTTACCTACTCCACATCTGCGCAAGATAAATGCCTGACCGTACACAACAAGGAGATCAAATCAACAGCTGAACACTCAGCCATGCCGCGTTGACAGGGCCACTTGTCACATGGTTAGAAATAGAAAAAAATATGAAGGAACCCAACTTGATATCCCTGTCGTGTCTTAAGCCCTATGATCTCGTGACTTATCTAAACTTGATGAGTCAGGAGCAAAACGAAATCTGGAAAAGAACCTGGGACATTATCTACATGGCTTGCCACGGACCAGGGCTGAGGCGAAGGCAACATAGATTTTAAGGTTTGATAGGTTCAATACTTAACCTACATGCTTGGGTAACGAGCTAGGCCGCCCCAGATAAAAGCGCACGGACTTAACCAACAAAACGAATCATAAATAAATGGCAAGAAGGCCAACCGCGTTTCATCCGCGACGGTGCAGCTCGAGTGCATTGGCCCCTGCCAAGGCGATTGTCCGACATATCTTATCACCTGCCAGGCTACTAGCGAAGAAGCAATACATTTTTAGACGACAATAGTCCAACGTCCTGAGTGTCAAAGCCGAGGTTTGTCTAAGACTTCAGCTACGAGATATCTGTGTTAGCGCTGGAGTATCTACCTTGCTGTCCCATGGTTCCACGGCAAATCTAGCGTCCCTCGACCCGACTCCCTGGAACAATGCACAGCGATGGTTGTCTCGCCCGACGGCGTCTCCGGCTCGACAAGGCAATGGACGCGTTCACAGGGAGCCATAAGTATGTCCCTGCATGTCTCACGGTTTTGAAGATATTGCTTACCTTCCATACGTGGGGTGGCTAAGGCTTTTCTGTACATTTCCGAATTTTGTTTATGCTGATCGATATTAAAAATCCCTTTTTTCAGGACGCTCCAACTATTCAATCATCATCTTCATTCAGATAGATTTTAAAACTTCATTTAAATTGACAATTTGTTTTATCATTTATTCTGCTCTATCGTCATGAATTATCCGTTTCATTGTACGTAGTTCTGTCTAGCCACGATGCATGGCCTATTCTGTACATACAAGATGACTTTTTTGATTCTAGCGTCGTCATACTATGGATTTAATTTGCTAATACGAGTATGTGGTATGCTCATTATTTTGATTTTGGTGCTTATTGTGCTACTTAAGTCTCTAGGATGAGGTTTGACAGTGTTTCACAGGGTGCGCGAAAGGAGTCTAGTGATGATTTAGATGGTTAAGTTACAAATAGTAAATGAGTCAAATTAATTTCAGGTCCTCTCTAGGAAGAGATGACCAGTAAAACCGTTATGGTAGAGGTTACTTGTGGGTATTGCTCACAAATAGCTGGAAATATAGAGTGTTGGCCTTTCCGAAGAAGTGATTGGTAAACAAATATATTGTAATGATGAGTGAAGAAAAGTTTGCGTGTGGAGTAAATCTCCTTAACACTGATATATTATATATAGAGGGTGATGCTCTCGCAGGCCCGGATGAAACACAAGTAATATCTGTCTATTTACACGCATTAATGATATTGTTATCGACTCTGACTTATCTCAAATAACGGCCTGCGATCATATTCGTTGATCATCTAACAGGTCGATTTAGCATATTGGTCTGTTATCACAGAGGTGGACTATTCTCAGCACCTACCAGCGGTGTCCCCTGCGAACCTCTAGCTCTCACTGTAGAGTCTGCAGAGCCGAGATTGAGTAACAAAGTCTTCACTACCACGAAGATTCCTTATCGCTTCCGCCGTCTGTATCATCTTCATCCCTAAGAACGTCCACCTTTCACCATTATCATGAAGCTAACCACTATCAGATCAGATTGTAGGGTCGAAGCTCTTCTGGTTACCAACCCTTGATTATGGAGGAGAAACCATGCGATGAGTTTCCAAAGTATACCCAGCACGCGATACAGTGATGGTGGATTGTATCAAGCCGGCCTAGAATGTTAAAAAGAAGAGAGATATAGATGGATATGCGCACCTCATGTGGTCCCAGTGTCTAGGCCTCGCCTGGCTGGGGGTGCAGGTTTTTTGAGAGCTTTTCCCGCGCACGCTGTTTCCATTGCTAACATTTTATTTACATATATTTTTTTTGGGTAGAAGGTTCCTTGGAAAAGGTGGCCGAATTCCACTGATATAGACTGAGCTGAATGGCTATTCATCAAGGGCAATAAAATAATGATCTTTCAAGAAACAGAAGAGGAGAGGAGCCTAATGTACTAGATACTCACAGACTCAAGTAGCTGAATATACCCACACACATACACATAGCTAAAAGAATATTGCTTCCATTAAAGATCAGAGTTACATGTAAAACAAGAATTAATGGGCGTGTATCTTTGAGGTAAAGTGGGTATACAATCACTAATTACTACAATGAAAAATTATCAGCACAGCTGATCACACAACTTTCGGAGGACGAAGGCTGAACACCTGTCAGTGGTGTCCTCTTTGAACCTGGGAATGAAATAATCTCTCAGAGCCGAGATTCAGTCACGAAAAAGGGTGGGATGAATTTTAATTGATGGATTTTCAACTTAAAGGAGTTGCACTCGATATTTTGGTCGATAAATCAGTCGGCAGAGATTTCACAGCCGGAACAAAGTTGAACAAAAACTCATCACCACTAATATACGATTCACGAATGGATTTAGGTCTATTTGGGAGTCGTATTCAAAATATCCGACATCTCTCAAACTCCTTTTAGATTTGCGATGAAGCATTTCTCAGTCGATCCTATACCTGCGACCCACCTCCATACTCGTCCGATCACCTACCTACACACGCCCTAATGAGGAAAGTCATGATGGAAACGGGACGTATACAGAGGATGAAGAAGAGGGAAGATACACCGAGGGGATTACACAAATTCCCAATGACGAAAACAACCCAACGGTACGATATGAAGGTGCAAGGCTAGAGCAACGATGAGATCTTGGACGGCATTTATATTTCGGAATCTATGAGGATGTCAAGGGCTCGGGCGCGTGGTGGCCGAGGCTGACGAGGAATTTGCGCTACGGCGTTTATATAGCGGGTTTCTGGACGGTTAGGCCTGATATAATTCAACACATGGGTGAAGTCTGAGGTGGTCCGGTCATTAAAGTGGAACGAGGTTTATCTGTACTTCACGGTACTTAAACTGATCCGGCCCAGCCCCACACGTGCTTAAGCTCCAATAGGAGTGCAACGGTAGTCATGTAACCTAGCACGTTAATGAACAAAATAAAAAAACACAACTTTTGTGCGGATAATGTGTTGTGATGTGATTACCACAGACACTCTAAATATATCTCTGCCAAGTCTCAGGGATATGGTAGATCTATGCGAGTACTGCACAGCCCTACATTGCCACCATTATGTTGGACTTTTGGGGCGCAGCTCTACACGATGTTATTAGGTAATCGGGGATAGTATTAGTATGGAATTGAGATTATAGCTCATACAGCATAGACGGTGATGTTCTGTATAATGGGCACCAAATATGTAAAAGTCCCATTCACCATCATGACATGTAGATATATTATTACGAAGCTCCCCTTCAAATCAACAAGCTCTTATAAGTGTTATTCACTCTCCCCTGCCATCCCCAGCCTATTCAAAATTCCACGTCTTCTTATACCTCAGTCGCAGTATAACGAGAAAGTATTGACCCCGCGCCTGTAATGCCATCGTATTTGCCACAAAATAAACGCAACCTCTTTTTGCACTAAAATCGTGCCCAATTTTGTAACAGCCCGCTCATGCAAATGCATGAGAAAATCGCTCAACAGCGAAAAGAAATTAGAATGCAGTGTGGAGGGAGGTAGTTTTCAATTTCAAGGAATACCATTGACCGTAGGGAATCTAGCAAATTCACACAACTCAAAAAGTGTGAGTTCCAGCATGCTCGCTTGGGGCTTCTTCACTCGCTCGTCGCACGTCCTAGCTGCCTATCCTCCTTCAGGATGTGGAGCCCCATTACACTAAGACTCGAGCACTGTAGACGATGAATTACTTTCCTCCTCGAACGTGTACATAGCATCGCAACTTTGTGGTGGGAAATGATGTTGGAAGTACTGCGCAATGAAACGGGCGCAATATTTCTGGAATGAAAGAAGTTGATTAAAAGAGTTTCAAATCGGATTACTGCTAAAAGAGTCGAAAGTGTCCGCTACAACCACAAGTGTAAGCCACATTATAAACGATTGAGGCGCCATCTATGCATAGACGTACCCTCAACAAACTCTTTTTTGCACCAGTTTTGAATTGCGTGTGCAGCTAGCTAGCCGTGACACAATATCAGAGAAAAAGTACAGCATAGATGACTCAACATAAAACAAGAGCACTAATGACTCGGATTTCATTTGCAAGTACAACTGCGAAGTTATACTAGCTTTTTCTTCAGCCCAAGTCAACCCTCATCCGTGAATACCCACTCAGGGGAACACCTCAAAAACCCTGAATTATTCAGACCTGCCTCCATCATCTTCAAATTTTCTCCGTGCGAAATGCGGTCTGAGGCATCTCCTTCCCAAGTGGAGTAGGTGCCCAGGCCACTCAAACTTTACCAGAGAACACCACCAGGAGGCGGACCACGGCACCTTCTATTGTTGGCTTGTTTTTATTGTGTCAGCTGTACTCTTGCAATCGAAAACTTGGTGCGCAGAATGCTTTTCAATATCTAAATCTCCTTGCCAAAATTGGAAATCTCTCATCCGTCAAGATTGTACTCTTCAATCGCATCATCTTGTAAACTTGTCCCAATTTCTGTTGCAGTTTCAGTCACTGAGCCTTGGAAGACTTGTGACTTGATTTGTAAACTGGGCTAAACTAGAGTCTACAGAATGTATCGTAAATGTAGAATTCAGTAGTTAGTATCACCAGCATACCAAATAAGCTTAAGGCATTTACCAGCAGTACAGTAATCTAACCATATCTTCCTTCAATAATTTCTCCCACGTCCATCCCAAAGAACTACCTCCCGGATTTATGAGAAGCGCTTTGTTTCCTCCTACGGTTACAAATATCGGCTTGGGCGTTTACTTCATGGCTATCTGAGGCCAGAGAATAGTCGATGAGAGGTGTGGTCATTGAAATGAGGATATACTAAGGATTACCTGTAAACTTGATGAGGTTTCTGTGCGAATCGATCTTGTAGGGTGGGAGAAATTGGTTAGGTGGAGAGTCTTGAATCATTGCCTCGTGGGCCAACTTCTTTGGTAGTGCGAAATTTGACTGAACTTGCCTCTGAGAGAATTTTCCACTCTCATGCTCGTAGAGGACACCGCTTACAGGTGTTCAGTCATTGCCCTCTATGAAGCAGCCTGGTATAATCGCTTGTAAACTACTCGACTTCAAAATTGTGATATAACATCTAAATTTAGGGTAATCTATTCGACTGTTTTTATTTAACGTCATGCCCGCTCACCAAAAAATCCCAAGGCCTCGCGTTGGCCAGCTCAGATCACATAAACTACCCGACTGGAATATAGTTAATTAACGTCTTGGCTATCCACAGTTCGCGATAGGAGTTATAGCTTATCATCGCCTTTGGAATCACAATTCTGCCCAACATAACATCCAGTGCGGGCGTGAAACATCGGTTGGTTCAGGGAACAATTCTCAACACCTGTCAGTGGTGTCCCCTGCGAACCTCTAGCTCTCACTGTAGAGTCTGCAGAGCCGAGATTGAGTAACAAAGTCTTCACTTCCACGAAGATTCCTTATCGCTTCCGCCGTCTGTATCATCTTCATCCCTAAGAACGTCCCCCTTTCACCATTATCATGAAGCTAACCACTATCAGATCAGATTGTAGGGTCGAAGCTCTTCTGGTTACCAACCCTTGATTATGGAGGAGAAACCATGCGATGAGTTTCCGAAGTATACCCAGCACGCGATACGGTGATGGTGGATTGTATCAAGCCGGCCTAGAATGTTAAAAAGAAGAGAGATATAGATGGATATGCGCACCTCATGTGGTCCCGGTGTCTAGGCCTCGCCTGGCTGGGGCTGCAGGTATTGAGACCTTTTCCCGCGCACGCAGTCTCCATTGCTACCATCTTTTATATGTATATTTTTTTTGGGTAGAAGGTTCCTTGGAAAAGGTGGTCGAATTTCACGGGTAAATACTGAGCTGAATGGCTATTCATCAAGGGGAATATATCAATGATCTTTCAAGTAACAAAAGAGGACAGGAGCACTGTACAAGGTGTGGCCTGGGCTAGAGAGGAGCCCAATGTGCAATCTAGTCTAAGACTCAAGTAGCACAATAAACACACACACACACATCGGTTGGTTACTCCGTAGAATGCAGAAAAGCACCGGCGGCATGGCGAGATACTGTCGGTCGGCGGAGCGCAACGCCACCAAAGCTCATGCTCGGGGAAGGCAGTTAGAACTTATTCTCAGAATATATAAAAGTCAATGGAATGTACCCAAGGGCTTCGGCGGGTTTGTAAGGTCTGCAGAGGAAAAACGGGGTTAAGTAGCCATATCATGTGACAAGCAACAGAGGCTGCTATTTCTAATTAAAATAGACAGATGCACAATTTGCCACTTTCACGATCCCCCTAGCGGAGCTAAAAAAGCCTAGCACATATTTACAAACGTCTCAAACTCTGTTCCTCACACTGTACTTGTCGAATGACCTAATGAAAGAATGATCTTTCAAGTAGAACCTCAGAAATGATGACTTTTTATGTTGATGAGCGATGAGTTACCCGTTTAGGAATGGAGATGTGAGAGGAGATAACTGCTGTATATACGTGTTTGTTAGAAAGAATTGGACAAGAACAAAGATACATGATGATCACGAATCTGTATTACTACTGTAGAAAGCTTATGATACAAATTACACCTGAGTATACCGACATATATATGGGTAGTCTTTAGCTGCAGGAATTCTCTCTTCAGAGAATTATGAAAAATTGAGCCTGCAAGATCGTCCATGCATTTTATAATGAAACCGTGGCAATGAACTTCCAAAGCAGCAGCAGGGCAAAAAAACAGAAGGATTATGATCCGGCTACACCGAAGACACGAAGCTCGTAGAGCAGACCCATTTCTACTCCGCCAAAAAGCTCAAAGGCTGACTCCCGATCCATCCCTTGTAATCGACGCATGGCAGGTGCTGTCAGGCGTTGCATTGCTCACCGAATCGCCAGCAAAAGCGGCTAGTATTTTACAGCACAGGAAAGCTATTGCTGCACGATTTTGGAATGCTTCTATGGAAAGACAAAGGACTGGGACGACATTTGTTGTCGGTCCTATTTCGAAGAAAGTCAACACGAGTTGGAAATTTAGATTGAAAATGTTGTGAACGTACGGGCCCTCCGTTTCGTCAAAGTCCCCGACACGATCTTGTGTGTATTTAAGAGGTTGGACTAGGTAGTATGGTAGCGCTTCTGGCTACTTATTGGAGACATGAGCGGCTGTGTGGCGTGGGCGCAAGGAGGTTATTGGGGGTTTTCTATACCTAGATGGCGCCACACTTGTTTATGCTGTGGCTTAGGCTGCGTGTCGCTTACACTTACACTTGTACTTTTTTCTTTTTTTTAAATCATTTAATGTGTATTCAGTTATCTAGCTATGACACATGATCGGTGCTATGAATACATGTGGCATGACTTTTTTGACGTTAGAGACACTAATACTCTGGATTTCATTTGCAAATACCACTGTGAGGTATGTTCGCTTACACAAACAGTCGACCCTCTTCCGTAAGTACCCACCAAAGGGAATTTCAAAACCTTTGGTTATCCAAGCATGCCTTCGTCATCCATGCATACCAGCGCCGCGAGAAAAGTGGTTGTGTTTTGCCGGATTTGAACCAGCGATCTACTGTCTCAAGTGGGATATGTGTTCAAGCTGTCTAGACTCTACTTGACAGACCGGCCAAGACGATGTACCACCGCACCATCCAACCATGGCTGTGTTTATAGTGTCGCCTGCACTCTCGCAGCCGAAGACTTGGCACATACAAAGCTCAATTTGTGAAAACTCCTATCCAAAACTCAAAATTCCACGCCCGTCGAGACTATATCCATCCTCTTCATCATCTTATCAACTTGTCCTGATCCCTCTCACATCCACCCCAAGGAAATGTCTTTCAGATTTGTGCGCCACGCTTTGCTTCCTCCGTCGGGTGTAAATATCGGCGTGGGCGTGTATCTGGCGACCAGCTAAGGCCAAAGAAAGTCGAAAAGAGGTTTGGTCATTGGAATGAGGATGTACTAGGTCGTACTTGTAAACTTGATGAGGCTTAGGTAGGAATCGATTTCGTTGGGAGTGAAAGATTGATATGGTGGAGTATTTTGAATCATTGCCTCGTGGGCCAACTTGTTCGGTAATGCGAAGTTTGACTGAACTTTGACACTTGTACTTGTAGCGCACATCTCCCACACTTTTAGCTTTAATCCGAACATGACACTCTTTTAGTCATCTTCTTCTTTCGTTTCATCAATGTTGCGCCCATTTCATTGCGCGATATTTTCAACATGACCCACTTGAAGGGCTTTTTTTTAAGAGGAATTGGCGACACGAGCCATAATGAATAGTACTCCGATGCTACACATAGCTTGGACACGTTGGTCTAGAGACTCTCTTAGCCACGAGGACCTGTGCCCACCAGCTCAAATGCGGATCGTCCGCTATGGATTCTCACGAGGGCCCCTGCTCACAACAACTACAGTGCCTTGACTGCCGTGGCCTTCGCAAATCTACTGATGTTTCATGCCTAGCTCGTCCATACAGAGATCATGGCATACTATAATTGTTTCATTTTATTGTCCTGTCTGAGTCTATGACTATGTAGGACATGCAGGTCTTCTGCCTACATGTCAAGGATACCTATATCACTAGTAGACTCACTCCTATGACTTCCATACAGCTCCCCTCAAACAGTACCGCCCCTCACAAGTCCTCATCATGGTACATTCGCTTGCCCAACAGGGGCACAGTTGCAACACATAGGAACCATAAGTCAGCAAACTTTCGCAAATCGCCCTTCTATCAACAACTTCTGCCCACCATCAACTACGCTTTGGAAACTCGATATTTGGCTTCGCCAAGTCACCAGCTTCCTAGTGATGTACTTTTCGACATTTTTATCCTTTGATTCCAGCATATTTTGATAAGAACCCGAATTTTTAGCTTTGGCTGAAATTATTTTGCCCAGCCTTGTCAAGGCTCGAAAAATGACCAGGTTATATATATAATTCATTTTTCCTGATTTGGCGCCTTGAGGCCCATGCAGGTTTTTATCGGTAGATATTTGCTTTAAGTAGGATGACTCAATTTGACATTTAGAACACTCACAATCAGATTTCATTTGCAGATACCACTCGAGGTTAACCCTTACGGCGTGTAACCTCTTCCGTGCGTACCCACCACAGGGAAAAGCGTGAAAAACCTGTGGCTATCCGAGTGTGCTTTTATCATCCCACAAGTACAATATCATCGCGAGAGAGAGTGGTGTGTGGGTTTTAATGGATTTGAACCAGCTTTCTCCTGTCTCGAATGGGGTAGGTGTTCAAGCTACCTAGTATCTACTTAGGAGAACGGCCCAGGTACTGTACCACTACACCATCCATAACGACCAGGTTAAAGCTTACTAATGTAGGTGATTTAATTATTTGTAATGATTTAAACTAGATGAAAAACATTATCATTAAATAGCAATTATAAAAAATAACCTTTTATTTTCACAAGATGAGGATAAATATATATAAAAACCCCTTAAATTATATTCAAATTCTAGCTGTCAGAGTGTCATAATTTACTCCAGACTGACATGATCCTGAGTAAATTGAGTCATAACACGAGCCGTGCTACATCATATTTTATCATTTCCGCTCACAGCAGCATCCTAATCGAGCTAAGGCCGACTACCTTACTGATTGCAGTCGCTAGCGCTTCCCTCATTATGTTGCAATAATCTCTTAGCTTAGAAGTAACTAGTGTGGTCATGTAATGTTTAACCACAAACGATCCTTCTTGTAGTAGTATGTTCTTACATATGGATCATGGAGTTAAGGGAGTTAGGGAAGTAGGAATGGAATGGAATGGTACATGCAAATATGAGTAACAATATTAGAGCAGAAAGATGTATTTAAGGAAATCGGGGGACATTGATGTTCGGTAGCTTCTTGTCCTATTCATGTTCTAGAGATACATTGAACTACATCTTGAATCACGCCTTGAACCACGCTCACACAGAGCACTTGCTTTGCTAGGATTGAGGTTGGGGTTATGTCTCAAGCACATAATGGGATAAAGATAGTATTGACGATTCGGCAGCATCCATATACATCTTAATTAGCCACCACTTCTGCAGTAGCAAACCCATTCTCATTACCTGTATTGTTATAAAGATTGACCTTGTCATATCAACACTAACATCTAAAATTAATTTCGGTGGAAATTTTTGAATTGAAAAATGGCTGAAATGAGCTCTTTACCACCCGCTAAATAGGGCTTTCCATCTTCTCCACCATCACAGAGCTCTTTAAACCTCGGAAATCTGGTAATACTTCCAGACTCCATATGTAGCCCCAAACTGTCGAAAAATAAAAAGTTATCAACAACCTTTTCTACAACAAATTTTGATGGTCCATTCAGCAGGGAACGGATATTTGCAAAAGATCTTGAGCCCAAATCAACTTCCAATAAATCGTAATACATTTAATTAAATAAAAGAAAATAATCTAGATTTATTCCTATAGCTGTTCATTCCAGAAAATTTATCAAAGTGGCCGAGCATACTTGAACATAGCAATAAGCTTACCTGTCTGCTATCCAAAAAGCAATTAATCTGTTGGTGAAAGCCTACAACCTGAATAAAGACAAAAGAAAACAAAATGCAATGCTTGACCTTTAAAAGTCAGCCGGTCCTACACTGAGGAAGGTTGGATCAGAGCACCTAAGGAATAAGAAACCAACTGCTCAACCATGTGAGCCATTAAGTGGCAATCCGATTCAACCACATAAATCTTCAATACTGTTATATCCTCAGATTTTGAGGAGAGGGGCACCAGCAATACCTCCAACTCCTGTCGTTCAAAAGGCTATCATATAGAATGAGAATATTATGCAATGGAACCTAACAGATAACTGTAAAGCATACAGCATACAGCAGCAGCATCAATAGTAACATCAGCATTAACTGCAACAATGATTACAGAATCCCTTCTAACAACAATCTTCCACAATAAAAATTTGATCACCTTAGACACTGAACCTAGTGGAGTTCTTCCTGCCTACCAACATTTCTCTGTCAGAGAGAGTATTAACAAGGTTTTAGGAAAGAAAGCTATATGAAGAGTGTACGTTTCAGCAAAAGTAAATATTGTGTGTGTGTGTGTTTATTGTGCTACTTAAGTCTATGACTATCTAGCAACTTGGGCTCCTCTCTGACCCAGGCCACACCTTGTACAGTGCTCCTGTCCTCTTTTGTTACTTGAAAGATCATTGATATATTCCCCTTGATGAATAGCCATTCAGCTCAGTATTTACCTGCGGAATTCGGCCACCTTATCCACGGAACCTTCCACCCAAAAAAATATACATATAAAAGATGGTAGCAATGGAGACTGCGTGCGCGGGAAAAGGTCTCAAAATACCTGCAGCCCCAGCCAGGCGAGGCCTAGACACCGGGACCACATGAGGTGCGCATATCCATCTATATCTCCCTTCTTTGTAACAGTCGAGGTCGACTTGATCCAATCCAACATCTCCGTATTGGGTGCTGGGTACGCTCCGGAAACTCATCAGATGGCTTTTCCTCCATGATCAAGAGTTGGTGATGAGTATGGCTCCGACCCTAACATCTGATCTGATCGTGCTTAGCTTCATGATAATGGTGTTAGGGGAATTTGTTGAGAGATGAAGACAATACAGACCGCGAAAGCGATTGGGAATCCTCGTCGAAGTGAGGATTTTGTTACTCAATCTGGGCTCTGCAGACTCTACAGTGAGGGCTGGAGGTTCGTAGGTGACACTACTGATAGGTGTTGAGGATAGTCTCCCAAAGGGAAATATTGTTCTAACCTGTATGGATTTTTCTCCATCAGAGCTCCTACTGGATCAGGAGAAATGGGAGCCTGTATTTGCAAGATAACCCACACAAAATTCCCAGAGAGTCAGCCACAGACCGAAACTTGTGGTACATGGATGATCCACTTGTATCCCATTAGAGGCAATAAATTAAGAGACGGAAGGGTTCAATGAAGGCATTACAATCAAGGGTCAGCCAAGATGGCTCAGCAGGTTTTACAAGCAGTCAATTAGAGCTTCTGTTACCTTTTCAGCCATCACAGACGA